ATAATATTGCATCCATCAAATTATAAATAATATTGAGATCAACTATAATCATTTTTTTCTCAAATATTGAACATTTCATTTATTATAATTCATTACAACGAAATAGTAGAAAAAATATTTATTCAATACATCAAATGAAAATTTATTATACTTAAAGTATAGAATATAAACTACTCTTGGACATTTCCGTCATTAGCCAGCAGACTAGTTTCACCTTCAGAGATTGACAAAGAAATCGGCAGCATCCAAAGAAGTAAAATTAGTAAAACCATTGTCTACAGGACTATGGTTAAATCCAACTATATTACAAATGAATTAGTCTCTATCTTCTTTTTTTTTGTTTCTTTATTGATTTTTGATAGAGATCGACAAGATGCTTGAGCGTATGATAGACATGGGACCAATGATTTTTCATGCCACAATGGTAGCATTTGCCCTCGCCTTTCTTTTTATTTCCATCTTTCTCATTACTAGTTCCCAACTTCTAGGGGAAAGTAGTATTTTTATTTGGACCACCACGACCGTTGAAATGGTTTTTACCATATCTTCGTCCACGACCACCATGCCCTCTATTTTGTCCGTTATTTGGATTTACAACTGTCGCATTTGCTTAAGGAAATAGAGCAACACCAGTTGGACGAGTTTGATGGTCTTTCAATAAAGGTTCATTATTTTGTTCAACAGCAAGCAGAACTTGAATCAACTTAGAATATTCTGTATAACACCTTTCACAATATTGCTGCATTAGGAGCACATTTGTGGCATGAAAAATGGAGAATGTTTTCTCCAACATTAGTGCATCACTTTTATCATCACCAGATAATTTCGAAGGTGATGTGATTCGAAAAACTGTTGAATTGTACTCACTAACTATTTGAAATCGTGGAAACGCAAGTAAAACCAATCATGGTGAGCTTAAGACATCATAACCGTCTTTAAGTGATTACATCTTTCATTCAAACTCATCCATAAAACAAATAGATCTACAATAGTCAAGTATTTAGTTTTCAACTGTTCATGAAGGTGGCAACAAAGCAAAATTGTGGCCTTGGCGTTTTCCTGATTTGTGGCCTTGTTGTCTTCTTTGATAGTTTCTCCAAGTCCATTAGCATTTAAATGCATTTTGGCATCAAGCACCCATGATAAATAATTTTCTCCGGAAACATCAAGAGCTATGAACTCAAGTTTTGTAAAGTTATTGGCCATTGAATGAAAATAAAATACGCTGTCTGAACTTACCCAAAAGGAAAGACTTTAAAAGATGGCTAGAGACGAGGTTGAATTTCCAGCAAGCTGGGTAGAAAAGAGGAAGTGGGGGAGATTATCATATGCCTGCCCAGGCAGGAAATTCCAGAAGATGATCATGTATGCAGCTTTGGAGGCTGGAATATATAAGATTTGGAAAAACAGAAACCAGCAAGTGCATGACGGGAAGCATAACTCAGTGGAGGTGGTAGTTGAGGGGATTCAAATAGAAATTAGGTGGCGGGTGCAATAACTCACCAAGGCTAGAAGTAGAAGAAAAAGGTCCTTTTTGGAAAAGCTGAATATTTTGAAAAGTAGTACATAGTTCCTTTTTGCTTTTTGTAAGTCTTATACTAGAGAATGGTGTAGTGTGAATAGGGGATGAATGTACATAGGTGACAGTTTGGTTTGGCAAGGAAGGAAATATAATTTACATATTGCCAAAAAAAAAAAAGGATGGGTAGAGCACTTTCGTACTGAAAACGTGTTTAAAAGAAATTGCAAAGTAAGGAAAATGAAGAATAGAGGAATGGTCATGAGATTTTTTTGGGATGTCTTTTCCTATTCGTTTTGACCTCAATTTTTAGACTTTTGATTACCGTAAGATATAGATTACATTAACTCCATACTTACAAAGATTACTTAGTTATGGAGATTGTGTTGTAAATGAAAGATAAAACATTAAGACAAGTCAATATAACATCCACAATTAATATACTTGGTAACAATCAATACTTCCCAGCTGCTTTATTTATTAATAGTATTTTATTTAGAAAAAGAACCATAAAGAAGAGGTATTTCCTATCTGATACGTACTACATTCACAAAAATCCTATCGAACATGGGTGAATCCTCTATTCCAACAGTGATATTATTTGCTGCAGGTTAATTAATAAACTTTAATGACATTAACATAAAAGTTAATTGTGGCACTTAATTACTCACAGGCGATAGAGATATGGCAAATAATATCAAACTCCTAGGTATACCTTGCAAGGTAAACCCAAGCAGTGCGTGTATCACAAACTTGGCTGAAAAAAGTGACTATTTTAGTCCGGATTTTTAGTCACCACACGCGCATTTAATCACCCAATTTTATCCCTTTTTTTTGACATTTAATCCCCCTAATTTTATCCCTTTTTTGGCATTTAACCCCATGATTTTATCCCTTTTCTTTGCACACGTTTAATTTTAAACCTTTTTTTTCTTATCATGTCAGCTTTTATATTATTTATTTTATGAGATAATTTTTTTTATAATGATGAATTTTATTTTGGTAAAGTTTACTATGGTTAATATATTTTAAAGAAAAAACAACATTCATCAAATTTTATACATTGGATAAACACAGAAAAACCGATATATTTGACCAGAATTTACCTTAATCCTCATCTTCAGTATAAAAACTTGAAACCAAGATTCATCGGTTTTGATGAACGTACTGATCCAGTCTTCGGAAGTTTCACCGACTGTAGATTCTGTGAATGTATCGCCGGTTGTGATTTTTTGTGTCTTTAGGATTTTTTGGATTGAGACGGAATGGATTGAAACGAATAAGAAATTGGTTTTGGGTAATGACCGGAAAATAGGAGAAAATGGTGGTTATCAGGATTTGAAATCAAAATGTCGCGCATATCAGAGGATTCAATTGGCGCGTGTAACTCTTGTCAATGGCATAGGATGTAAATAAGTATAATTTCCATCTTTATGGGAGCGTGCTGTTCACACTAAGTATACCTTGTTAGGTGCACGTAAGAGCTCTATATTATAATTGATAGAGATATACTTTAAGTTCTATAACAATCTTTTTTTCCTATCATTATGTTTTGAAATGAAATAGAATATGGTGATTATCTACAGAGAACGGAGTATAACCCGTCTGAATAATAAATCCCAGTCTATGTAATGTATAATTATATTAATTTTGGAAAAGTATACCTACATACATATATAAATATAAATGTATATATATATAACAATTCCTACCTAAAAATTAGTAAAGACAAAATAAGTCCAAGTGCAATTTTCAAAATTAATTTATTTATTGCCTGTTCTAACAAAATTATCTTTGTCTTCAATGTAATTTAGTATACAAATCACCATAAAATATTGATCAACACCTAATATACAGCTAATAAGAAAACTATTTTTATTATTATTGGAAAAACATTTTCAAAATCAAGGACCAAAATGATTTAACACAATAAAAGAACTACCTGGGTTTATTGTTAATTTGCACACTTTTCGTCCCATGGAAAGCTATTAATTAATTAAAGTTGTAATTAATGAACCATGCATATCCTTTAAAACCTTTCAAACCATATTAACCAAAACGGTTTCAGTAATGCAAGTTTAATTGTTGCCTATAAAAGCAAGAAAGACAACCTACTTGTAACACTTTTACTATCTATATAGATCGTTTCAAAGGCCGACGTTAAAGAATGGGTTCAAAAACGATTGCTTGTGTCCTTTTGGTCCTATGTGTGATGGAATCATGTGAGTAATATACCACTCTAATATCTCTCCTAAATATTTTCAAGTGATAATTGAAGCATGAGTATATTATCATGTCGCCTTTTTCTACAGGTTAGCTTAATTTGATTATAGCATCTGTTTCATTTTATTTTACTTTATTTATTTTATTACGGTGACAGACACAACGTTTGATTTTCTTAATATAAAATAAACGTATAAAGACACTTGCCTAGAAGAAGAATTGGCTGATATACGATCAATTTCGCGTTTGCAGATAGTATATCTATGTCATAATTTTCGCAGTCTACACTAAATGTTTACTTTGCGTGAAATTTACATTGATCTTCTGTTCTCTAATTTCTTACCTTATTGTAATTTGTAACGTCAATTTCATACGTGCAATTTTCAAAAAATCAGGAATTTTTTACCAATATTTGAGAATTTCATCCGAGTTTGATTTTTTTTTTAATTAATCGGATTAAATGCTTCTTCGATCTTTCCAATATATACGAGATAACCAAAATTTGGAACGCAGTAATTAATTCTAGAGATCTTTATATCTTTTCTTTAAAAGAAAATACGCTAGTTATTCTCGCTTGTGGTTTAATATACTCCCCCATTTTAAATATTCCTTCATTTTGAAATAACTGTCCTGATTAGATTTTCGCTAGTAGAAAATCGCATCTCAAAGATAATTCAATATTATTATTTTTTTCTTCATTCTTATACATTGTTTTTTTGCTTCCATTTCGTATGGCAGGTTTTTTCCTAGAATCAGAAGCAGGGCTTTGGAACAAGGTTAAAAAGTTTGTGAATGACTACTTGACGCCGGAGACAACTTGGATGTGCAGCAGAGATTCCGACTGCTCATGCGGTCCTAAGAACGAGACTCCCTATTGCGATGGTGCCGATGAAACTTATCGTCAAGGATATTGTGAATGCCGGAAAACAGTCATCTAATCAAATATGCATTAATTCATTTTACTCCGGACTACTAAAGGACCAGCTAATAAAAGCCGAATCAAATAATTTACTGAGTTGCTTTTTGCAGTTTAGAAATACTAGCTACTAAATGCTACACAGATGTCTCATGTATTACCACTTTTGAAATAGGTTACGCTTAAACCTGAATTTTCTACCATGCATAATGCACTAAACTCTATCCATGGAACGAGCTGCTCATGAGTTCCGCAATCATGCTTATAACTGATCACTTGATATGCTTGATTCATCATTTTTGTTTCTTTTTGTTTACCCAATTGTTTGTACAGACAAAAGTGGTGCAGAAAAAAATTCATGATCAATTTGCCAACTTGATCATATCAACCTCATTACATTAGGCTCCCTTAAGGGTTAAATACAGCAGAAAGGCAAGTTTAGGAGAGATTTAATAACACTTCCATAAATACCAAAATGGTCCAGCTCATCATATTCCATACTACAAAGGTCTCGAGTTGCTAAAGTTCCATCTATGAATTAATCTAGACAGGCAAACCCAGGTAGAGTTTGGAATTTCATTGCTAAAATGCGTGAACAAAGCGGAAAAGATGCAGAAAGAAAATTTCTGAAACTCTGGCTTAATTAACATACGAATAAACATAGCTGTCCATACATCGGGAGCCAACCTGACCGCATGCCGCAATGATGTAAGCCCATTAACCACTCGAATAAGCATCTGATTTTCCTGTGCCAACAGCAAAGCAAGATCCAAATCAACAGTCCTTTATAAGACAAAAGGCTCAAGAGACTGATTACTGAAAAGGACAACCCCTGCTCACTAACTACGAGTAAAAACTTAGAGCCAATCAATTATACACACTATGATAACCTAAAAGAGAAGAAAAGAAAAACCTCCAATGGCAGACAGAAACTTATTTGTCAGCAGCAAAATTTCATAAAGATTGTCCAGTGACATGAATGGTTGAAAGTTTATGGGATCAAAGTTGGAAAATGTTAGATTTAGCTAACCACATCATACAAAGGGTTAAAACTGACAGAAAATTAATGGGTTCAACAGCCCAAATCAGGGCGGAAATTAAGCAACATCAGCTTTAAACTACCTCAGCGATAAAGCTAATTATCGTTAAAAGAACAAAATTTGAATTTGTACATTTTTATGCATAAAAACCTCACCATGATCAGTTGTGTAGCCCAAAAATAGAGTGTACATTCTCTGATATATAAGCTATACCTGAGAATCCGATTGCCCCTCATCAAAAAGAGATTCATCTTTCAGGAAACCATCAGCTGCCTTAATCATATCTTTTACAATGTACACACGGATCCTGGAACCATTATCAGAAAGGATAAACTCGAAAAGATCTTCTGTGGCAGCCACTACAGCCCGCATATTGAATGATTTCCATTCAATGAGAGTGGGAGAATCATCAGCTGTCTCAGAAGCCTGTTGAGATATTGCGGCTATCTGCACCACACAATAGGATTAACAATATATATCAATATTGTCTATAAGTGGATGCAAAAGGAAGGACAACCGCGCATGAAAAGTGGAGAAGTAACACAAGTGAAAGTAATTTGGTACTGAGAGCTAAGACATTCACATCATTCATACTGATATGCAAATATAAGATAAACCAGAAAAGGAATGATCAGGACTGTGAGATTAAGGTAACATGAAATTCAAACCCCTCAACAAACTTCAATTGAAATAACCATCTCACTTTTACTATTAGTCTGACTGCTTCTTTTGCACCCATACAAATTAGTGGCTTACTAGCATCATAACTATTAAATGAATAACCCATCTGAATATCTGAGTCTCCTCTCCCTTACCCAAAAGAACTCCTGCCTCTTCAGTCTTCCTTTTATATAAAAACAGACAAAGATACTCCCCGACAAAAACAGAACCTTACAGCTGATAGTACGCAATGTTTCTTACTTTCGTAGGTTCTGCAATCAAACTTGTTATGCGAGCATTTGGTTAGAATATCTTCCAAGTATAAATATATATACATATATTCCTGTTTACTTCATACTCCTACGCTAATTCACAATGACTAGATCATGAACATAAACAATCAAGATGTGATGCCAGTTTTCCTTAACTTGGACCACTCACATCAAAGCAGCAATAACATCTTTTGTTGGCAAAACTAAGTTAAGTCGGCGGGGAAAACTTCAAAATTCTATAAGGATTGAGACTTAAAAACCTGCACGGCTGGTTAAACCAATTCTGCCCCAAACACCCTATGGAGGAAGTGAAATAATCTAGTGCGCACCAGATTCTACTGGAAAGAGGGGACAAGATGAAGAAGTTTTCATTTAATGACACCGAAAAAAAGAGATTACATGCTATTTCTATGGACTAAAAGAGACAAGATGAAAGCATAAAAACTACTTTTTATTAAGCCCCAGGTCTGTACAGTAAGTCATATCCATAACTTAAACACCTTAAGTGATAGAACAACTCAACATAAACAAAATCACAAAGAAAATCTTCACTCCTTGACAGCCAATCCATCTATTTCGCAGTACAATGAGTATGTCAGAACCAGCCTGTCTTATGTATGCAAAAAGATCTAAATAAAAAGAAACGCCGCAACCTTTGACTGACAAGGTGATTTGCAAACTCTTTCTCAGTAAGCTAACAGTATTCAAAGTCTAAACAAAATGCGCTCTACTGGGTAAGAAAATAACAAACCAAACCCAAAAAGAAAAAGTTAATACTGACTCTATCAGATGGTGCATGGTTATGGATTAATGTCAAACAGTTAGTATACAACCTTGTGGTTCAATGCCGTTGTTATTGTTGGTGTAGTCATTGAACATTTTAGTAATTAGAGCATCAAAATGTTTCCAATGGCAACACAGTAAGCATTTTCACAAACAACGAAACCTACCAACATTTCCTTATTCTTGAATATAATACTACATACATAAAAGTTCCATATTAGCAAAAGGATCATGAATCAAGCAGTATGAAACCTGAAGATTGACAATCCCTTCCAAGAAACTAATGCAGGAAAGATAAATAACATCAAAGTCATTCATCCAGAAAACATGTCATGGTAATTGCATTGTGCTTCTGGAAACTGACTATTGGTTATAGATATCTAGAGGAGATACGAACCAGTTTTTCAAGTCGATTCCATCGGATTGAGCCATCATTACGAATGAGCAGCTCCCGTAAAATTCTTCTCATATCTGGATTAGGGTCTGCCAAAAGCCGGCCTATCACAAAAGGATAAGCACTTTCAACGACTTTAAAATCTGGATCTAGTACTTTAGCAGTCCCTTCAAGTGAACCCAACGCTCTTATCACCAGTGCATAATCTGGAGGGAGTGAGAAGTTGAACTCATACATAACACCATATAGTTGATCCATTATACTCTGTAAGTGCAAAAACAAATGTACTGAGAATTTGTAAAATTAACTACAGCCTCAATGGTAAGAAAGAGAAAGAAATATTGTGATATCATTTTATTTCAAGCTGCTATCACACAGAATCTAAACAACAAAAGACCTTATAACCAAAAAATAAAATAAAACTAAACTGAAGAACAGTGACATTGCAGTTGCAAGTTCTTTGTGACACAATCACGTCCTAAACAGATTAGGAAGCATCTCATTTTCAGCAACTACTTCTTGCAAGAAAACAATAAGACAAAAATATTAAGGTCCACCACAGCAAAACTTCCAACACTAAGGTAATCTAACTGCATCTCTGCAAGCCTATTTTTTGCTCCAAATTAGCCTAAATTCCCCAATCAAAAAAAAAAAAAAACCACAAAGCAGTTGACATATTGAAAGCCAGCTAGATGCGCATTCGAGCATTTCCAGAACCCACACATGGTGAGCTACCACGTAATATGGCAGCAGGGTATTTAACAGTAAACACATGTATCTCAAAAAGCATTAGTATTAATGCAGAATATAAATAAGCTGATGAACAGGATGTACAAGCACACAATTTTAACAGATTACAACCTTTTTTTTTGGGGAAAAAAAACATAATTAACAATCAGTTGATTCCATGTAAACAGAAAATATTAAACAAAAAATGACAAAAAGCCTCTTCAACTCTATTTATTTATTCTAATATGCTGGCTAGATATACATGTAAACTAAAGAGAACTGTTGCTTTACCTAAGTTATTCGATGCACCATTTGGTAAACGTTGAAAGTGCATCACAAAAGACATTAAGTAATTCACATATAAGAGATCTAAGAAAACAAATAGCGAATATGGGGGAAAAAACAAATAACAGAATGATCAACTGCCACTTGTCTTCTCGAATTCAGAGATGAAGTTAAACCAAACCTACATTTATTGAAGCGGAATAACCTTATCGATAGTTCTCATCTTCCGCCAAGAAAGGCAGCAAGGTAGTGAAGGCCTAATAGAGAAAAGATCCATGTAATCATTACCTGGAAATCACGGGACTGTCTTCTCCCATCACCAAAAGATGCTTTCAGTGCATCTGAGACAGCCTGAATATCAACGCCTTCTGGAATGAAGCCTAGAGAAAGGAAATCATTCGCCAATCCGAGGGAATCACGGTTAACAAAGTGCACAAGCTGAATGAGACAACCACCATTGTTAGATACAAATAAGTATTTAACAGAAATATCAGATATGCAAACAAAAACACGACAGATGAAATGTCATCCACATCATAACCTAATTACAAAGCATGCCCTAAAATGCCTGCCTTTGACAACTTTACAGAAATGGAACTTCGTGTTTTACTTTCATCTAATTGCACAGCTGCAGCTACCTTTTTCCAGCTACAACCATTTTCATTACTAACGGTTCTCCTGGTTCAGCCACTGTTTAGGACCCCAGAAACCCCAACAATTAAGGTACACGGATATTGAAATTAAGCTAATGTTAAACAGAAGCTATTGCTTAACATTGCTCCAACGAGATAAACATGCCAATTCTGAGGTACACGGATATTGAAAATAAAATGAAAAATTATGTCAAAATCCAACAATGCGCCAACTATTTAATGAGATGAATGGGTTAGGGTTATTACCACTCTGATTAGCCCCACACGGAAATGACGTGGAATATTACCCATCATTCCGAAATCAAAATAAGCAAGAGATCCATCCTCCAAGGCGACAAGGTTTCCTGGATGAGGATCAGCATGAAAAAACCCCACCTCCAGCAATTGCCTCAAAGAGCAATACAGCCCCTAAGGGAAATCCACCAAAAAGTTAATATTTTGAAATAACAGACAGCATGCAAATATCATTGCATAAAAAATGCGTAATTCAAGCACCAACAATAAAAATTAGTTTCGAATTAGAAAGACGAGCAAGTTAACTTTGGGTTTCAAGGCTTAAAGTGATACCCGGTCAATTAATTCCTTCCTGTTAAGATAAGCTTTCTTCAAGCGATCTTCATCAGTAAGTTTAATGCCATCAATCCATTCCATTGTCAGAACTGCTTGACGGGTAAGCCCCCAATATATTTTTGGAACCTTAATGTGATTGGCCTTCTGGTGAGCAGCAGTTGCCCCGGTTGAACTTCTGGACCTATCATCATCACCACCTGAGATGAAGTAAAAGAGTAACAAGCGAACAGAAACTTTTTCAAAAAGAAAGAAGGGGGAAAAAATTGAAGCTACAGACAGCATAAAAAGGGCTTTGAACTAAATATGTGGAAACAAAGGGAATTAAGAATTCAGATGCTCGTAGTTGAAGTCATAAACAAACCAAAAGTTTTCTACTTGTTGTTGGGGGTAATGGCCAAAAACAGGTCTATAGCAAACCAAATTAAAATACGACAATGTGGATTTGTATATGTAATTCCAAATGAGCACTAATCAAAAAGTGTTAATTTTCGGGAAAAATCTTACCAGAACTGTCACCAAAAAACGTTGCAAATCGCTCAGCATTTTGACCCTCCAGAATGTAGTCAATTTCCTCAAACATATGCCTCACCTATCCATTCAAGCAAACCCTAAGGAGATTAGATAAAGAAACATGCATAGACAAACAAATCAGAGAAAGACAGCAGAACTTGTTCAAAGAGGAGACTGAAAAATCACCACAACGCAAGTTCTATTGTGGACTCATTTCTCACCAAATAATTAGTCTGAGTTGATATGGAAAGGAATAACATCACGACTCTTAAAATAATAATAATTAAAATAAAGTTAGTACATCAACACAGAAACTGACTCTATTAAATCCAATTTTATCAAGACTTAGCATAATTCCTCAAAAATACTGACTCTATTGAATCAATTTTATTCTAGACTTAGTATAATCCCTCAAAAATTCATAGCTAATATTAAAGAGAATCACACAGATATGATGCCCATGAACTGAAAAGTAAGCAGACGTCCTTGCAGATCACAACTTCTAGGCTCAAAACTCAAGATTCAAGAAGGTACTCTCATCTTTAATTTCCAGTAACTTCAAGATGGTATTATGTAACTTTATCACAGGAAGATTTATTACATACGATAACCTCTTAAGCAAAAACCTTCTGCACAGAACTTTGATTTTGAGCAATATAATTACCTATTACCACAACAACAACAACAACAACAACAACAAAAATAATAATAATAATCATAAATAATCTAGAAGTTAGTCAATAAACCAAAGAGATCAAGTGGTTGAACTAAAAGACTAAATAAAGACATATTAATAAGCTTTAAAGATGCAGAAAGCAAATGGGAATTCGTGGGTAACCAAATTTATAAATAATCACGATGCTTGAATCACAAACCTGAAAATATGGGAAAAAAGAACTGCCAAGTTAGTAATTTTTTGTAATGTTCTAGACCATAAGGTTGTTTCAATGTGAACATATCCACGCACAGTTTGCATATAAATTACAAATTATAAATTTTAACAACTAGATGCTGAAATTCAGGGAAATAATACGCTCTGATTTTTGCTCTGAACTTGCCAGAACAAATTCTTTCATTACGAGGAACAATTATGGGAATAAAATTGCAAGGAATTACCAACTGCATCAAGAAAAATAAACAAAAAATTTGGGGCCTCACCATCTCGTTGACAGCCACTAAAAGATCTTTCCGTGCTTTGGCGAATCGTTTCAATTGGCCCCCAATCATGTGAAATAACAAGGCATCAAGTGTCAACAAATGTGACATACCAGGCCTCTGAACCTTGACAGCTACAAGCTCCCCTGAGTGCAGGTGAGCTGCAAAACTAACAAGAGGTACATTCCTATCATTTTACTCTTAACGCCTTTCTTTCTTTCTCACCCAAACAGAAACATATTGAAAACCATCTTATTAGTTATGCAGAAACAATCCCACCAAATAACTAGTAGTGAGACACACCCCAACTATGATATGTGGAAATAAAGTTCAAGCAAAATACAGTGTGTGTCCAGCATCCCACCTTTGTAAACTTGCCCCAAAGATGCTGCTGCAATAGGTTCCTCACTAATGTCCGCAAATATTTCTGAAATAGGAGCTCCCAACTGCCTTTCGATGGACCTAATGGCAACATTAGTTGGGAAAGGGGGAATTTGATCCTGGGGAAATAAGTGAAACAACCAAATAAATATATCAGAAAAATCGACTCCACAGCAAGTAAACTACTCTAAAAATACACATTCAGTAGCTACGTATATGCCAAAAAGTAGCACAATCCAGCCAAAGAAAAAACAATAACCAGCCGAGATAGATACCTGCAACTTCGAAAGTTCTTGGCAATAAACTTTAGGTAATATGTCAGGTCTGGTGCTTAATGCTTGTCCAAGCTGCAGAAATTACGAAATCAAAGAAACCCCATCATCACAGAGAAGTTCTAATCCGTTGACATGATAAGCTCAAACATAAATGAGAACTCAACAGATAACGTACATTTGGTTAACAGAACACTCTAGAATGCTATGTTAAAATGTAAACACAAATCAAGGCTTGCCACGAAGATGATAGTCCCAAAACTATCAAATCAGGTTTTTGAGACTCTGCAGTACACACTTATGAACCTTAATTCAACTTTCTACATAAATTGTGCATCCCCAAAGTCTACCTACGCCCTCAAGTCCTTTTTTGGTACGTCTTGCACTGTACAAGGCTAGTACCATTGTCCATTGATAAAATGCAGACTATTTTTAAGGTGGTCAAGTGAGACAAGTTGTAGGTCACTCTCCTAGGATATTTCTCTTCTCTTCAAAAATCTAGGTCTTAGTTACAGCAATACATTCCAACTCCCAACTAACCCTTTCTCGGTCTAAAAGCTGAACCTCGGAACCCAAATATGAAACAAATGAATAGAATATCAGACTAACTGGAATTCAAACTGTAACACCACTAAAAGCTTCTTTTATAGCCAATCCCCTAATAGCAGTATATTCTATTCATAGGAGAATACAACAAGTTTGACAGAGGTAGTCAGGGAGAAAAGATCAGCAAATATAGAAGTCTGACTCCCATGCACATATTAGCAGCACAGGAACGGATAAAAGTGAGATGATTAACTAAAGGAGAAGCCGTCAAATAAACAAATTGAAACAGCTGGACCCTCCGCCTAAAATTGGGTGAAACAAAAGGTGAAAACTATTTTATCCGAATTCCCCTGCTTCCTTTGTAGTATCAATTTGACAACGATAACATGAACGTTCTTCATCCCTTTCATTACTCAAAAAATTAAAAATAAAAAAAATTATATATATATATATATATATAAAAAGATAAAGCTGGTCCTTCCATTACTCTATGGTAAAAGATGATTGATTCAAAACAGGATTCTTAAACAAGTTCTGGCAATGATAACATTAAGATGCTAGAAGAACAATAACATTTTTTAGTTCGAATCATCGGACTCATTTCTTGTCCTCAAATTTTTACAAAGTCGTCACATGGCCATTTTCATTCCAGGCTGGCATCAGCACATTCAAATGCTTCAGCAAACGACAGAATCAGAGAATGAAGTTGTGCTAGTACCAAGGATAGGCAGGTTGTTGTGTCAGACACCAGAGAAAAAGAGTACAAAAATAGTAATAAGACAATCATAAGTAAACTCCGAAGCACATTAGGCATCCAAAATTAGACACTATTGAAAAAATAGTAAAATTGCTAAATCACTTGCAAAGGATAACTTACCTTGACATAAAAGGGCCCCAGTCGAATGAGAGTTTCACGAAACTGTAAACATGAAGTAGAAATAAAGAAGATTTAGTACCATAAATAATGATATTCAAGAAAGGTTCTTCTGGAGAAGACTTAGATCATCCACATATGCTAAAACAGGCCACAAAACACAGGCTACAAAACAAATACCTCAACAGTATCACGCAAATGTCAACAAATGTATGTGGTTTCACGCAAATTATTGAGGCTTCAACATGTTCATTAAAAATGGCATTCCCAGGATGAAATTTTATAACTGATGAAACCAATGAACTTCTAATGTTATTCAACTCAAATGCGGAAAAGAAAAAAAGGAACTGTATGCCACTTTCATAGTTGATCCATATCAAAAGTGGCAAAACGACAATGCATATCAAATATAAGGTTTTCCAAACGACCACTAAGGGATTTTAGTACAGTTAGAAAACAAAATTTTAAAACCAATCATAACAATGTCAACCGAGGCTTATACCTAATCATAAATATTACAAAGAAAGAACTGCACCACCTTTTCTTATTACCATTTACTGCTTCATTAACCATCATTTCCCATGCACAACTCCAAGAAACTACATAGAAAATTCTATCAATTTCCTCAAGAATGCCTAAGGAAAGTGTTCAATTACCATAGTTGAACGCTTCTTCATGTCGTGGACAAAAAATCGCCATACAGCAAGCTTTAAAACATGATATGAGATAATAGCTGCTCTGTACAATGCAAAGAATGGACCAAAATGGTATAATGTTGACACATTTTTTGATCTACTTCCGAGCAAATCTCCGAATTCACTTTCTAGAGACTCTTTCCTCAATTTCGCATACTCTGCAGATGGCCTCTCGCCATGCACGCTAGAATATCTAGTAGAAAAGCTACAGTACAAAGACAACAACAATGCACTCAGTATCACAGAAATTTACGATAATGTCAGAGAAGTAAACATGTTTAGAAGCACAAAAAGTTCAACTTACAATCTATAGAGTGAATACTTAATGAAACCCCGATTGTCATGCCTCAATCTGTTCTCTTTCACTGACAAACTCCTGCCGAGAATTTTCTCAGCTGAGCTGCAATAACGTGAAGCTGCAACATCCAGCAAGCGAATTAACACATTAAAAGCAAAAGCATAAACTTGAGGGCGAAATTAATACCAGAACAGACAGAACAACAAATACAGGATTACAACTGCATACGAAACTGCCTTAACGAGGTCTAAAAATTCTGACCCAATTCATCCAGAACAAAAAACAAAATCAGCACCGAAAAGAAATAGAAACGTCAAAATGCCCAGAATTCAAACAATTCAAACGCAAAGAGGGGAAAAAAGAAAAATAAAAAATAAAAAATAAATACTATACTGCATGCGTACATGTTGGGCGGAGCATGTTACACTGCCGTTTGAAGCATGAAACGATTCCCCTCATTGAGGAAGGATTCGCGAATCCTACTGATGGCAATGTTAACAGAGTTCATCAATCAAAGAACCCCACGCTGAACAGCGCTCAAATTGTTCGACGAATTGCCACAATGAAATCCAGTATTTGTTCTTTTTTATCAGAGCGGAACGAATAAAAGAACTAAGGAGAGAGCGGCAGTCGGTTTGATTGTGTGCTTAGTCAGTAACACGTTGCTTACACAACAACACGTGGCCACCGCAAATTATATGGGGCACCTAGTGCTTGTAAGTTAGGGAGCACCGGGACGGGCGCGTGTAGGCCATTGTTAAAAAACTATGTCCCGAAATTTTTTTAACAAAAAAGAGGGCTCTTTACGCACATACGAACTTTTTCCCCTCTTTTTTCCTCCTCTTTTTTTACGACCTAATTTTGCAGTTAATCGATCTCCGGCAATCCTTCGTCTCAATTCTTGATTTGCAGCGACAGAATTCTACTAATTTTTAACGGCAATCAATCCTTCATCTTCAATTCGTGTCGGTGATTCTAAGGTAACTCTTCATTTGCTGGATGTCTTTGATTTATCAGAATCTCATCGGCTGTGTCGTATGAATTTCAATCTCACCAGCAATAGCGTTTAAATTGTTTCACGAGATTCATTGCGTTTTTTGTGTTTGTTTTCGTCTGGTAGATGAGTTGTTCGGAAGGAATGTCTGTTGTTCTTAATTCTGGTGTCATATTCCCTTACTCAAGTGAAGAATCAGACGATGAACGCATCGTTGATACAGAAGAATCAGATGATGAACGCATCGTTGTTGCGGAAGAATTTGATGAAGTCATTTCTATTGAAGGTGTACCACAATTTCTTTATAACTGGATGAATTTCAATATTCAGAATGCTTTTTATGTTTTTTTGTCTTCCATGAGCATTGTGGTTTCGTGAAATGAACATTTTGAGTTTTAGATGAACTGTAGTTCATGCAGAACTACTTTTGATGAATTATGTTTACTACAATGAGCATTGTAGTTCTGTGAGATGAGCACTATAATTACTGACATGAGCATTATAGTTTCACGAATGAGCATTCCATATTTTTACATGAACTGTATCAGAATTTCATTTTGCATGGATTAGTTGTGGATGATTTTTAATTTTTTGTCTTTGTAGATGTAGATTTTCTTGGCCGTGAGTTCAAGTCAGTTGATGAGGCGTATATGTGTTCTGAGTCATATGCTAGAAGACTTGGTTTCGGTATTAAGCGCTTTAAGGCAAGGTACAGGGCAGGTGGCGACTTGAATGTGAAACAGTTTGCTTGCAATAAATAAGGGGGTACGAAGAGTAGAGGGAAAGGATTTTGCAACAGGATTATTACTCGTACGGGATGTGGTGCAATGCTTAGATTAAGGTTGATGCAGAAAGCGTTTGGAAGATGGTTGTGCACAAAGTTGATCATAACCAGGAAATGATACCTGAGAATCAGCGTCACTTGGATCGGTCGCATAGGTAGATGCCCGATAATGATGTAGCGCTTCTAACTGGGATGAAGGAGCAAGAGATTTAGGGTTTAGGGGTTTAGGGTTTAGGGGGTTTATGCATTTCGATTATAGGTTAGGGTCTAGTTTCTGCTGGAAAACGATTAACCATTTAAATTTTTAGGGTTTAGGATTTAGGGGGGTTTAAGCATTTCGATTATAGGTTTCGGTCTAGTTTGTGCCCCGAAATGATTAACCTTTTAAATTTTTTTAAACCACGAGACCCTAGCCTAATTGGTTTAAAAAAATTTCAACCAAATAAAAAAAAATTAACCTGGTGAACATTGTGTTTTATAGGATGAACATTGTAGTTTTACCAAATGAACATTGTGTTTTACAAGATTATCATTGTAGTTTAAACAGATGATCTTACAGGACTTGTGACAAATAAGGACCATGACTCTTAGATGAACATTGCAGTATAACAAGATGCACATTTACATTGGTGCAGTGAACAACAGAAAAATTTAATGAATTTTATACTCTCAAAGGACATTTTAGAGATCGCAGCAGGATTCACATTGTTGCTACAAACTTTTGGAATGATAAGTCAAAAATCGAAGCTCTGAAGCTCTGCCCTATATAACTGAAGCATTGCACTATGCTCACACTAGTTGAATTTACATACTTTTTCCCCTATATATTTTCTATATAAAAACTATTGATCTTTTTTTGAAGCTCTTCCCTATACAACTTGTTGGTTCTTGACTGCAGGATCTCAGCTAGATATCTCATCCGCAATGTGTTAATGCTATTTTCTAGGTTTAGTTTTGCCCTCTGTTTAAAAGTGTCGAAAAGAAAACAAAACAAACATCAAGTGAGATTAGGTAAACGCTGAAAACAATAAGAAAGGATTAAAATGATATAGTTTTACCGGTGTTGTGCCATATGATGGAATGCCACATCTGTAATCTTTTGTTAAGCCATTGAAGGTTTCCATGTGGCACAGTCCTTGTTGTTGCTCTGATCAGCCCACCGAAGTACAGGGACACTGTGCTTAAAGGTTGTAATATCACGCGACAGTGTCGTACATTGCTTTTGGAGGTACCTCGAAAAAGCAGACTTGATGAGCGTGACAAATGCACCATACTTGTTGCAAATGGTATATGACCTTTGCCCACATTTGGCTTGTTGTCTAGAATATACATAGTCTGGTCGTCCATGTTGAAACAAACCAGATAGAAGTGAAATTGACAGCGCACTGGAAAGAATAACTACAAATACAGCATTTTCACACAGTGAGCATAGTGCTTTAACAGGATGAGCAACGAAGCATACAGGAAGCATACGGCGCAATGAAGCATACATGATGAGCAATGAAGCGTACATGAAGCATACTGAGCAATGAATCATACAGGATGAGCAATGAAGTAAATAGGATGAGCAATGAAGCATACATGATGAGTATAGTGCTTACCAGATTCTTTAACATAAGGCTCTTAGCCGACACATTCTAGGATGCGAGGTCACTTGCTATCCTCTCATATCCTCGTTGGATGGCTTCTTCTGTTGGTTGACCCGTCTGTTTGTCAGTTTCGTATAAGAGCTATAACAAAATGTTAATGACGTTAAATTCTTAACATATGATATGCATATTAAACTACAAATAAGTGATGAGTAAAAGAGTTTTACAAATACCGAGGAGGTGAAAAAATATTTCCTCGGCCGGGAGTTCTCCGACTTGTGCAAGTCATTTAGATGCAGTGACCAAACATCAATAACGTTGTTGTATATCTGCTCATCAATATGGATTGACTTCAAACTGTTCCTGTCCAGATAAAGGTACATCACAGGTTCTTTTCCCATTGGTTTGGCTTCATAGCTCATATACATGGTTTCCCTGCACCAGAAAGTGTAGTTTAATAGAATGAACATTATACTTTTCAGGACGTACATTGTAGTTTAACAGGATGTACATTGTCCTATCCTGCTTACCTATTGAAGTCAAGCCCTTCACTATCTGGTCCTGAGAAAATGAAGTCGGCAAGAATTTTCTGGATAGGTGTAATCTATGTTAATTTCTTTCCTTCCTTCTTCCAGAACGGCGACCTGTACTCAACAGGTTTCTCACCCTCTGCACCGGTGAAAACATTTGAATACAAAAGAAATTTCATATGGTCAGATTTACTGTAGTTTCAGAAAGTCAGGATGAACATCATACTTTAACAGGATTAGAATCATACTTTAACAGGATGAGCATCAGAGTTTAACATGATGAGCATCAGAGTCAGTTAAACATCATACTTTAACAGGATGAGTATCAGAGTTTATGAGTTGAATTTTAAATTTTTAAATGCATACCTATAAATGTACTTCCGTACAGAACCTTGTTTTGTCTCAAGAGTTTGTGGACTTGGCGGCCTAGTGATTGGTGGAGTCATTGGATGTTCGTCATGCTGGAAACTAATGGCAATTGCAGCAGCTGGAGTCTCTTTCTTTGGGAATATTGACAGGTTGTTGCGGAAAACTTTCAGAAATATTCAATGACCAATTTGGCCCATCAGAAAGTTCTAGGACTTTACTTTTGGCCTGTTGTATAACCTGGTCTATCGTCCTAATGCAATCCAACATTTCCGGAGATTTTCACCATTTCTCTATTTGTGTTGCAGTGTCAAAACCCCATACTTTTGGGTCCGGTGGATTGTCATACTCGGGTATCTGAGAGCCATCTGCTTTTTGCTTCTGATTTTGTTCAGCGGGAACTGAGTTGATTTCTTGATCTTCAGCCTTTTTCCCTGCATGAGCCGCCATTCTCTTCAAGGCTTCAGCATAGTCGTTGAAGAATTTATAGAACATGATGTGTCCATCTATGCCAGTTTCACTAGATTCTTCAAACAACTGGCCCAAATCAAGGATAAAGGGGCCTCATCCTGTTAACCATCACATGTTGGAACCAAGTTCCAAGATCCAATTCCTGAAGAGTAAAATGAAAATTGAACATCAGACAATATCAACATCAGTATACAGAATGAGCGTCGAAGTATACAGGATGAGCGTAAAAGCATACAGGATGAGCAACCACACAAGCAATACAACAACCTTTAAACGAACAACTAAGTCTCATAGGATGAACGAAGGTCCAGAGATTGTATGTACCTTATCTTTCGTTGATGTATCTCCTTGATTTTCAGGTTGTGCTTGTGGATCATCAACTTTCTTCGTCTCCTTGGCCTGTATGGACTCATCCTCATCGATTCTTTTTGGTACCACAATCCTGTCCAGTGGTTTGCCACTTCCAAAGCCTGCACCACTGTGTTCCGCGCTCACCCTTATTGTAACTCATGCATTGTTCCAGTGAGCAATCACAGGAAACTACTGGGGGATTCCATCCCCATCCTTATACTTAACTCTATCCAAATAGTACAACTGCAATGTTTTATGGTACTAACATAATAATAAGTTATTTCACATACAAAATTAATAAAGAAGGAAAAAAAATAAAGGAAAGTAAGTGAAACATACTAAGAGGAAGATCAGTGGTCCATTGAAAGCACCCTTAGGATTTCTCTGCCACTCTTCGACTGTGTCGTAGAGTCCCTTTGCCACATATTTGCACCAATTAATTTTTTATGTCATCGATGTTCATCAATGACTTCATGATTTGGTTGCGGCAACACGAATTCTTTGTTCTGAAGAGCATGCTAGCCATTACGAACAGAACAAAGTACTTACAAAAAAGTAGCACACAGGATGAGCAATGAATCATACAGGATGAACATCGAAGCATACAGGATGAGAAATGAAGCATACAGGACGAGCAATGAAGCATACAGGATGAGCAACCACAAAAACAATACAACAACCTTTTGAAAACACTGAAGCTTACCTTTTGAATTCTTCTCCATACACTCGGTGCCATTCAGATTCAGGAACTTTTTTCGGGTCAAAATCAGGATCACCCGTTACAATGTAGTTCCCAATTTCGGTTGCTTTGGGCGATCCCAAATTTGGGTCTTTTATTCTAAATGTCTCCCTCATCTGCCAAACAAGATTCCTGTACTCCTCTGAATCTTCGAACTTGTCTCTAGAATCATAGGCTTCAACTACTGTCTTTGGACCACGTGCTAGTCCAAGGACAGCTTCTACATCTTCTTCTGTGATCTTCAGTTCTTTTTTCCCGCCTTGAATCAACAATGTCTTGTCGCTGAACCTGAAATTGCTTAACAGGTAATGGGACAAGTCCGGGTGAAGAAATTTATTGATTTCCAGGCTCAAAAGGTGCCCGAAACCTATTTCTCGAACCAGCTTTTTCTGGTCAACACTAAGGAAACAAAAAATTTTATGAGCTCTGGCCGGCGACACTCTGCTTAAACAATTGAAAATCTCTTCTTTGGATTCTTTATTTTTTGCGGCTTTCTCCTTCTTTGCTTTTGTTTTTGCCACAGCACCATCATTACAATCTTTTCTCTTCGTCTTTCTTCGGGCAGTGGGTGCCTTCATTTCTGCATCTGCCTTATTGTCTGCTTCTTTTTCTACCACCAGATGGTCACCATCATGTTTGGACTTTGTCCTTTGTTCTGTGGCGAGTGGTGTAGACGTTTTAGAATCTTCCTGCATATATGATTGTGGCTAGTGGTGTAGACGTTTCGGTGGTGCAGTCTTCTTCTTTGCTTCTTTTTCATCGCCGCCATCTTTCTTCTTCCTTTTTCTCTCTTTGGCCTTCTTTTGTGATTCAGCATTCTCCTGTTGAGACGGTGAATTGTCGCGTCCTTCGATGGGTTGTGTAGAAGGGAGACTCTCGTCTTTATTGCCTCTCCTCACACTCTTATATTGATCTCTGTTGCATGAACATATTCACAGTAATAAAATGAACAACTGATTTTCACAGGATGAGCAACAACTGAGTATCACAAGATGAGCAGTAACTCATACAGGATGAGCATTACAGCATACAAGATGAACAACCTAACATTCTCTGTCAAGATAAGCATCCAATCATACAGGATGAGCATCAAAGCATACAGAATGAACAAGCACACAAACAATACAACAATGTTTAAATCTAGAAGAAGTTACTCAGGATGAACAATGAAGCATACAGGATGAGCATCAAAGCATACATGATGAGCATTACAGCATATAGGATGAATAACCTAAAATTCTCTGTCAAGATAAGTATCCAATCATACAGGATGACAATCAAAGCATACAGGATGAACAACCACACAAACAATACAACAACGTTTAAATCCAGAACAATTTACTCCGGATGAACAATACCTGTCATCTAAGCTTGAGCCTGATGACGACGCTTGGGTAGGCTCTGGTGTCGTCCCTGGCATAGCAATTATTGCTGCTCTGATTCTCATCCTTCGGCCGTAAGTCTCTAGATCTAAATTAAATATGAACATCAAGGAATTTTAAAACCCTAATTCATAAAAAAATCCAGTTCTGAGAAAAGAAATGTTCATTTCGAAAAAATAGGATACTTTGATAATCGAGTGCTTGATTTTGTGTTTTTCACCGTCAGAAGATTCGCCGAATGGAGTTTTTGAAATCTTCGGACAAAATTCACCAAACGAAGGTGTGAAGTGTACTTTTAAATGACTGGAGAGACGTTTCTAGTAGATTTAGCGGACGGAAACTCGAGGATTTGGGAGGAAACTCGCCGGAGGAAATTACCCCATAGATTTGGAACCAGAAATTGCCGGAGGGTTTTTGGGAGAAATGGACGGATTGTGAGGTTTTTTTTTTAAAAAAAAAAAATCGTGACTATTTATATTTTTTCAACGGAAGCGGTGGTATTTTTGAAATTTGCGGAAAGATGCATGCAAGTAGGCTGTTGTGGGCGCGTGCAGCGTAAACTAGGTGCTTCCTAGTTATAGAGCTCCAAGTTCTCTATATATTCATTGGGGGGATTGTTTTCGACAACATATATTTAAGAACTTTTATACAATTATGACTTTTTAAAAGAATACCTCAAATGGAAACTTTGGTTTAAGCGCCGTCTTAACTTTGGGTCGGCCATCATATCATATTTTTATGGAGGAAGAAAAGTTGATAGTTGCATCCAGAGATCTGGTTAGGCACTACAAATCTTAATGGGAAAAGAAAAATAAACTTAATTCTTGGTTTATCAGGCCCTCAACGAGTTGTTGTTAAAGTTTTCCCTGCTCCAAACTCACGTACAAAATACTATTCAACTGTTACGAGATATTCAATATATGTTATAAAATTGATTTTCAATTTTAATAATTTACGGCCACTAACACTCAAGAAACACAAATGACGAGAAGGAATTTGTGAAGAAGGAATAGGGCATTCAGGCTGCATAAATGACGGATCTACATGAGGGTTAAAATTTTTTTATGAAGGGTATATATATAAGCATAAAAATTAAAGGCTTCTTGTTCTGGGTTACCATTATAGAAAATGGCTTGGGAGTTTTACTACGAATATCGGACATTTCACTGCTTCGGGGAGTATTGTAATTGTGAGAACCTCTTCAAGAATTAAATTTAGCATGGGAGATGGAATTTTAACGTATAATTATAAAAACCGACAGTCGGTGTGTCGTGAAAATGGGTAAGAGTGTTGTGAAACCCATAGGTAACTATTAAAAACAATCCGGGAGCTCTTGATCCAAGCTAGAAAGTAAATTTGACCCATCAGATTCGAGAAATAAATTTGTGATTTATTACTTGGCTTTCTTTACAGCATCAAGAGTAGGAAGTTTTAACATTTATATGATTTTCCACGCGGTGTCGTTCCATGGATAGAACGGTGCCTCTTATCATAAGAATGTACGCTTCTTTCTCTGTAACAAAAAATAAAATTAAAATTAATTTATCACAACACGTTATCATATATTTTTAAAACCAATAGGAAGGTAATTCATAGATATCCTAAACCACGTGGTGTTGGTGCGTGCCCTTGTTTCCAAATTATAATCTCATGGGGCAACAAAAACCGAATCCTGATGTGATTTTAATTTCATAATAAGAATCCTAGTGTATTTCGGATCATTAATTCCCCTATAAATACCTCTCAGCAGGCATCGTAGACCGTATCTTGAGTTTCAACGTATTTGGTGAAGAAGACCCTCTAAACCCTAGCAGTCCTTTTTTATTTTGTTACGCGTAGAAGAAGTGAAAAACTCATCAAAGAAGAAAGAAGAATTCGGAATGGCAGGAAAAGGTGAAGGACCAGCAATCGGAATCAATCTCGGAACAACTTACTCATTCGTCGGAGTTTGGCAGCATGACTATGTTGAGATCATCGCCAACGATCATGGAAACAGGAATACTCTGTCCTATGTTGGCTTCACCGACTCGGAGCGTCTCATTGGAGATGCCGCCAAGAACCAGGTGGCCATGAACCCTATCAACACCGTCTTTGATGCAAAGAGGCTGATTGGCCGCAGGTTTTTGGATGCATCAGTTCAGTGCGACATCAATTTGTGGCCTTTTAAGGTTGATCCCGGAGTTGGAGACAAGCTAACGAGTCCATATCTACCACCTACATTGGACCGGCCCATTCACCAAGTCCAGAGTCCAACCGACTCTGTGGAGGCGGTGCAAGGGTGCTAAACCTAGTGAGATTTGGACATCTTCTAGGTCAATAAATAGGGATAATTTCTCCATAATTAAGGTATGCTATCTCTAGCTCAAATAATCATATGCACACTTATCTATCACCCTATTTCTGACTTAAGTATCGGAGTGTCTACCCTCGAGATACCTCCGAGGCCCTCTTTTGCAGGAAACCCTAAGCGGAGTTCCATTGATCAACCAGAGTCACAATACTAGGTTTCGTCACAAGCCCATGATTGTTGTCACCTATAAGGGGGAAAAAAAGTTTTCCGCGGAAGAGATCTCTTCCATGGTGCTGATTAAGATGAAAGAGATTGTTGAGGCTTACCTTGGCACAACTGTGAAGAATGCTGTCGTCAGTGTTCCGGCTTATTTTAATGATTCTCAACACCAAGCCACCAAGGATGCCGGTGTTATCGCCGGCCTCAACGTCATGCGAATCATCAACGAACTGACTGCTGCAGCTATTGCTTATGGTTTGGACAAGAAGGCAACCAGTGTTGGCGAGAAAAACGTGTTGATTTTCGATCTCGGAGGCGGAACTTTTGACGTTTCGATTCTCACCATTGAGGAAGGTATATTTGAGGTTAAGTCCACAGCTGGAGATACCCATCTCGGAGGTGAGGATTTCGACAATAGATTGGTGACGATGCTTAGATACGCGCCGCCGGTTTAACAGCGGAACTCCGGCTAGGGTTTTCCGCAAAACAGGGCCTCGGGGTCTACTGAGAGTAGACACTCCGATGCTTAAGTCAGTAAAAGGGTTGCTGGAAAGCTTAGGTATTGATAATGGTTAATTTGTTATACAAAAAGTGTTACAATCTACTCTGAAATTAATGGAGAATTAGGGGTGTTTTTTAGAATTAGTTCATTTTGCTTAACTAGTTTTGTGTTTTTGCATAGGTAAGGACCTAAGTGCATAACTGCTGGAAAAGAGGGGCTTTAGGAACAAAAATTAGGCTGCTGAAATCAAATTTTGCTGAGCTGGTCAAAGATATCTCCAAGACACATTTTAATGAGTGTGTCCCATCCAAGGGCATGCTTGTCCCCTTGGTTAGACTCCCAACTGCCCATGATGATCAATGTTGCAGCTGATACCAGTGCTGGAGAAGGGCAAGAGACCAGTCAATTCCCGGATTCAAGACACAAGGCATTGGGGCTAATAAATAATTCACAAGCATGGGGAGGCTATCTTGGAAGAAGAACCGGCTTCAAAACTCTATAAAAGGAGCTGCATTCCCAGCATGAAGAGGGATCTGAGTGGACATACAACACACAAAACACAACAGAGAGAGAAAAAGAGAGCAGAGAGGGGAGAAAACTCCAAAGGAAGAAGAAGTCCAGTAGCAGAAAAAGAGGAGTAACAGACCTCACTCGCCTGAGTGACAACCAGATTTGCTTATTCTCAATGCTTTCCTTCTTTTCTTGTATTTTCTGTAGTATGTGTAGTTAATTAGATTTCATTCTCTGGAACCTATGTAGTTTAAGTTTGTGAATGCATTCGGATGACTTGTGTTTTGAAGTTAAAGCTTTCATCTACCTCTTGATTAAATTGGCCATTTGATTGATTATGCACAGAACTAAGTGAATCCCGGAAGGGTAAACAAGGTTCAGAATCATTTAGCTTCAACTTATGACTTGGAGGTAACAGTCCAAGGTTTTAATTGAGATAGGAATATACTTGGTTAGCATAAGCATTCATATAAGGCTTGAAAACTTAATGACTTTATGACTTGATTAATCATTGGAAAATAGTTTAATTGAGTTCATAAAGATACCTCTAGGAAAAATCAAAAGTGACTTAGAGATATATAAGTGCCTGAATGAGCATGAATTCATACCAAAAGAGTGCAACATTACAGCTTGATTACATAGGGAAAAGAAAATGAATATCTAGTTTGCAGAGTCAGTCCCTTGAGTCGGAATTCTCACTCCCGTGAGTGAGGTTCCATTTGTCTTTCTTTGTCTTCAGTTCTGCAGAGTCACTTGCCTGAGTGACTTTACCCACTCGTGCAAGTGAGTGACACTCTGCAACTTTCTTTCTCGTTTGTCAAATTTTGTGTTCCGGTTATTTGAAGTTTAACCCATCCCTGTGGGATCGACTTGACTTATCCTATCTACAGTTTAAGTTGGTAAATTATTTTGGGGGCTTCGACAACCCACCAGGTATGTAGTTTGTTTAGCTATAGATTGCGTACCTGTACCGTGGTATGAGCTACCCTATTTATAGGTATGAGAATACCTGGGCAAATCTTGAATCCCATTAGGTTTCAGGAATCTCCACCGCCCTAGGAGTCCCGGTTGGACTCTTTCTTCAGTTGGTGGGCCGGTCCAGTCTCGGTGATGGATATGGACTCGTCAAGTGCCCCTGCCAAGTGTTAGTGACGTAAAGGTAAATAACGCTTGGCACAAAGTAAGTACTACCTGGGACATACCCGAGAGTGGACATACTACTCTCGTTCGGCTAATTATCGAGCAACATGTCAAATGATCTCGATGCGAACGCACAACCCTCGATCTCGGAAAATCGAGAGTAACTGGCGGGTTAGGTCTTGACCCAGGAGGACGACCCGCTTCCTAATCCCGCCCATAATTTCAACTGCGCGTTATTATTGGGCACGTTCCCAAACGGCAGCCTCAACATCATTACTCCTTTGAAATCCTCAATAACTGTCATATCGTGGTCCATAATTAGAGAAACGTGGGAGAATAAATTTTGTTTTTAAGGAGAAAGTTCTACCGTCCCCTTGCACTTAACCATTCTCCTTCTTTGCAAAAAATTCAAAAGTCTCTCCTCTGTTAAAGCATTCCAGTCCGCAAAGAATTCTTCTTCACCAGAGCATTCTAATCCCCCTTCCCAACCGAAATATTCAAGCTTTCGCCGGTGACAATGCCCCAGCGACGCTGTTCCCAGGGGAGTTGCTAGTTGGAGTTTTTGAAGAACGCTGGGAAGTTATAATTCGAAAGGCGAGTGGTCACGTCCTCCTCCCATAGTAAGTTTCTAGATCTGAATCTCCAGTTTGTTCCAAGTTTTTGTCTTTTCCTATTGTAGCCAGAGTAGATTCTTGCCGGAATTATGGTCAGGGACTCCGAAGGAAAAACTGTCTTGGACTTTGTATCCACCATAGATTCGGTTGATAAGGTAGAGAACCTTAGATCCAAGTATGACCTCCCCTCAGCCCTAGAGGCGAGAGCCCTATTAGGAAACGAGAGGGCTAACTATCCTCCAGGGGGAAGAATTACCGTGTATGACCGATTCATGCACCTAGGGCTTAGATTTCCCCTCTACCCCCTGTTTGAGGAGATTGTGCAACACTACAGGACTCCTCTTGCTCGTTTTACCCCAAATTTAATTATATTTGTACTGGGGTTTGTGAGAGTATGCCAACATGTAAAAGTAATACCTCGGTTAGTATTGTGGAGGTATTTGTTTCAAGTAGTTGTGGCCTCGACCTCTTTTCAGTACTGGTATATTATGAAAAGGCGCCTTAGAGCCGGAGTGAAGAAGATGGTTGAGGCGTATGGTAGCTCCCCGGAATGGAAATCAGACTTTTTGTTTGTAAAGGCGCCCTCGAGCTATTGCTTGCCGTGGAATCTCCGAGAGACTGAGGGTCTCAGGGCCATAAAGGATGAATGGACCTAAGAGGATGAAGAGTGCATCGAGGAGCTCCAGGTAGATGTGGAGAAGATTCTGAAATACTCCAAGGTCATCAAATGGAACGACATACAATATTATGTGCCTCCTGTATACGCGAAGGAAGATGATACGGTCAATGTCGAGGGTGCAACCAGAATTCTTCTCGAAACTTCTGTTGAAGAAAATCAAGGTACTAATCATTTTCTTTTTTTTTTCTTTGTTGTTAGGTCATGTCGTCAAGCAACTCTGGGTCTCGATTGTTTGGTGACGAAGATCCTTTTGTCATTGTGAATTCAGATGAGGACGTTACTGTCACTACTGCGCCTCAGAAGAAGAAGAAGAAGAGGATCGTGAAGGTGGGCGATAGGGCGAAATCCAAGAAAGCTAAAACGGATGCGCCCCCGAAGGAAACCACACAGCCGGGTAACGAGACGGTGCCCCTTGCCATTGAGTTTGTTCAGAAACCTATGCCGGAAGCAGGGCCAAGCATTATTCCCCCTGTGGCAGAGAAAGGGAAAGGCCCCCTCGAGGGAGAGGCAATAGTCTTGCCCCCTCAGCTGTTTGAGGGAGGCCCGTCTGTGGCAGTACACACTTTAGCAACCCACCATCAATCGAGTATGCTATCCTTGAGAAATTCGCTGCCTAATGAATGAAGCCGACAGTCTGAGACTGGTAAGTCATTTTCCAGATTAGGTTGTAAATGCATATATATATATATATATATATATCAATGTGTTCCTGATATGCTATGTTGGTGCAGATAAGTGCGGCCTCGATGGCCTATCTAGTGCAGTTAAGGAAACTTCGAGAAGACCTGGCTGCCGCTCGGGTGGAAAGGGATGAGGCGTTATTCGAGGTGGTGACTCTCGAGGAGAAGGCCCGCCAAGTTCAGGCTAAGGAGGCTGAGATTGCCATGGTGCAGGCTAAATATGATGAGCTGGATGAGAAGATGAAATGATTCGCTAGCTTGCACATCTCGAAAGAGGAACTGCATCAGTGGTGCACTGTCTTCATGTATAAGATGCTGTCGACAGGAGGAATGGCTACAGCACTCGAGGAGATGAACTTGGTTGCTACCAAGTGTGGAGCGCACCGGGTCGGCGTGGCGGGGTTGAAAAGGCTCGACCAGGACAGGCCGATCAAAGCTAAATGGTTCAAGCAGCTCCTGATGAAGGACCTGAAGAAAACCATGCACGAGGCCATGGTGAAGGTCCTAACGAAGTTGAGCCTCGAGCAGCTACCTCTGTGGGAGGCTTTGACCGGTGCCATGGCAAAGATGAGTTCTCCGGCGGAGATTTCCTCGTTCCCAGGCAACGTTCCTGCTATCCTGGCCAAGGGTCCAAGCGAGGAAGACCCTATACCTGATTTACCCAACGAGTACATGGGTATCGAGCTCGAGGACGTCGACAAAGCCACCGATGAGGACGTTGCTGATACCGGCCGTTCAGGTGTCCAAAGAACTGTCGAGGATGCCTCCCAAGATCCTTCCAAGGATCCCCTTCCAGGCAGTAATGCTGTATGAATCCTGCCCTTTGTAATAGCTGTTAGAACATTTAAACTATCACTTTTTTTTTGTAATGAATTGATTTCTTCATTTCTTCTTTTCGCGACCTTATACAAGCATCTTTTCCCCTTCTTTTTCTTTGTCTTCTGTTTTCTTTCTCTTTGGCTTGATGTAAGCGTCTTACACTCCTCTGGTGAAACAGGAAAGTTGGACCGTCCACCGTGTTCACCTCATGGTGTTATCGGAGGAGCAATCAAGGGAGTTCCCGTTATATTCTATGACTAGCGGAATTCTGAGAAGTCATGCTGATGTGCACAGCCTCGAGACGGTGGCACATTTAGAGAACGACCTCCTCGATGCAATGAGGACGCACAATGTAAAGGTTAACCAGCATCTGATAAACGAGATTAAAGGACTTCGCGAGGAGATGCAGCATCGAGAAGTTCAGAGTTTGAAAGATCACAGTGATTCTTTGACTTTCGAGGCCGAGATTCACAATGAGCTGGTCGCCTTGGAGAAAGAAAATGCTCGGCTG